GCAATGGGAGCCAATGATTCCCACTCAATAAGTAGTATCTCCGCACAGTCACAGCTGAACAATAACTACCACAACCCTTAAAGAAAAGTAAAAACTTTCACTCTTGAACGTTGAAGTAAATGTAACCAACCTCCTCTTTACATATAAAATCAAAATCCCAAATCTATCCCAATACCAACATAATTACAAATAATAAAATTTTACAAAATACTAAAATATATATATATATATATATATATATAAATAAAATATAAAAATAAAAATTAAAATAAATAAATCCAATAAAAACATCCAATAAATGTGAACACTCCAGCTCAAAATAATGAAACATTTGTGATCAGGAGTGTTAGTAAGCCTGGAGAGTGATACTACTTACTGACTAAGTTATCTGGTAAAGCCTGTCATTACTTCCTGAGGGTAATTATTCATTTTCACTAGTTGGAGGTGATCACAAATTTTTCATTATTTTGAGTTGGAGTGTTCACAATTACTGATTGGTTATATTCACGTATATTTATTCATTGAGATAGATATATTTATAGTTCAGTGGGGTTTTTTTTAATCCATTTTTCACATGTGATTAGAGTGCACACGATATGCAGTTTGCATGATACATTGTTTGTTCACACTTGTGTTTATGTATTCTAAATTAGAAGGTAATACACTATTATAAGTTTTTTTTTTGAGGTTCATGGAGAATGTAAAGACTTTTGGAATTACTATGCTGGATTATGAAAGAGTGACAATTTTTCTGATTGGAGGTTGGAAAGACACTTTTTATTAGAGATATATTTTGGTCATTAATTTTGGGACACTTATTTTTGGACATTTATTGGATGTTTTTATTGTATTTATTTATTTGATTTATTTTTATATTTTATTTATATATATATTTTAGTATGTTGTAAAATTTAATTATTTATAATTATGTTGGTATTGGGATAGATTTGATTTTAAATGATTCCCACTGCCTCAGCAAAGCCTGTGATAATGGGGATGAGGGGACAGTACTAATACCTGAACATTTTTTACCTTAATATAAGGAACGCATTAAGGTAAAAAATGTTCAGGCTTTAGAACCACTTTAAGTAACACTTATAGGTCTCCTCTCCACCCCCACCCTGCAACTGGACAGTGAAACAAGAAGAAGTAGAGGGATAAGATCAAACTTCAGTCACTCTGCTCTCTCCTCCTATTAGCATGCTCCTTGTACTGCAGCTCAGCTGCCTCACCCTTTTCCAGTCTGAGCTCTACGGGGCTGCAAGAAGCTGATTCAGGTACTAACACTGCTTGTGTCTCAAAAATACATTTTAAAGATCTATTATTGAATGCAGAGCTGTAGCAATGTTGTCTTTTATATTTTCCTGAGGCTTGGCTTTAAAAATCTGTAATCCTATAGAAAAACTGAGCGTTGATGGAATAGAAATCTCCCCCTTTTTAATTAAAGGATCTCTCTCGGTCTTGCCAGCTCCGCAGACAGTCAGCACTGAAAAGTGATACGTTAGCTGTCATCATGACACCTGTACTGACCATGACATTGTATACTTACAAGACAATTGAAGTAACAGGCAACAATGCATGTCACCTCCGCCATGACAAGAAGATGTAGTGCCAGCCGAGGACTGTTGCATGTGCTAATGTGCTGTGAAAAAAACATGTCTTTGTCATTGTGTCAGGAAGAATATACTGGGGCATTGCAGAGTAGAGGAACTTTTCTTTCCCCGGGAAAAGGCATGACATATGATTCTGCTGGAAATCAGAAAAAATGGTTCTCCCTGTCTCCATGTCACATATTTCATATCTTCAATATATGAGGAGATGATTCTGCTGTAAAATGTACAAAACCGAGAAAAATAAAGGTTAGTTAACATACAACCAAATGATTCTCATTTATCAAACGTAGAGAATTTCCTGCTGTGTTCACATAGGAAGTCTTCTGTGTTTGTAATATAGGTGAAAAGCAACTTTGCTTGATTGCTATGTGATCTAGGGAGGTGCATAAAAATAGGTTTAATTTACATAAGTTTGTTGTATGTAATTTATTTTGTCTTGATATCATTATGTCCATTTTTTTTTAATGTCACTTTTGCTTTATTAGAGGAAATATTTGCCTGGGGATTGTATTGCTAGATATTTAAGGATGAATGCCAATCAGATATTAAACACTTTAAAGCTCAGCTCCAGTTTTTTTTTTTAATTCCTCCTTTTCAACCCTACAAAAAGAAAAGTTTACAATGCCCTACTTATCTCTACTTTTCCACACTCCTGAACTGCTTTCCACATCCTCCTCTGACCCTGGTGGCCGACCAACTTAAAGCGGAACTTTGTTGTAAAGCACTGCATAAACTGTCAGTTCTACATAAACCCTGAATAATAATATTAGTAATAATTTCACCCTAAATGGAAAGTTCCGCTTTTAAGAATCCTCCCCCTTCCTCTAACAATATTATTATTATTATTACATCGAGTTTATATAGCGCCAAAGGGTTTGCTCAGCGCTGTACAATAGGGGGGGGGGCAATACATGGCACAGTACAACAATAACAAACAACGTACGAGGGGTAAGAGGGCCCTACTCTTTCGAGCTTACAATCTAGGAGAGAGGGGGTAATGGTACAATAGGAAGTGGCTGACTGGAATGAGGGGTGGGAGGAAAAGAGGGAGAATGGCCGTTAGGTGAGGGTGGGGTAGGCTTACCTGAAGAGATGGGTTTTGAGGGAGCGCCTGAATGTGAGGAGGGAAGGCGACAGTCTGATGGATTGGGGCAGTGAGTTCCAGAGGATGGGGGAGGACCTGGATAAGTCCTGCAGTCGTGCATGGGAGGAGGAGACCAGGGAGCAAGATAGAAGGAGGTCCAGTGAGGAGCGAAGGGTACGGGTTAGGGCGGTACTTGGGGATCAGGTTGGTGAGGTAGTCAGGGTTTTTTGGGGGGGAGGGGCACATACCTACTTTTGGCAGATACTGGCTCCCTACTTCCTCTCCAACCATCTAGGTGATCGGAGAGGAAGTTCTCCCCCTGCCCACAACCTTTTTTGGGACACATCACAGATCCCAAGAGGCTGCGGGACCATTCACAACGTGCAACGCATCTCATACATGCGCAGTGGGAAGCCAGCTGTGAAGCTGCAAGGAGTCAACCCCAGCATCCAACATTAGACATTCTGAAACCAAGGACCCAAAGTTTGGCAAAGAACTGGTTCGGATGAGGGCACCGCTTGATCCCTATACAGGTAAGTGTCCCGATATTAAAAGTCAGCACCTACAGTAGTTGTACCTTCCGGCCTTTTTTTTTCTAGAAACTGAAGAACATCTTTAAAGTGGTTCTAAAGTCAAAATGTGTTTACTTTAATGTATTCCCTGTATTAAGGGTAAAAAACAACCCACTAACTGTTCTACCCACCCGGCCACCCCCTTTTCTAAACACTTACCTGGCTCCTTTTACTGCTCCAGCACTGCCCCAGCTGCAGCAATGCTCCTCTCACTTCTTGGTCACTGTAAGAAGCAGGAGCCATAAGCTCAGTTACTGTCATTCAAACTCTTGTGAGGAAGGCACGGGGGGGAGCTTAACGGCGCTGTGTGTGTCTATGGACTGAGAAAAGGGCTGAGCTCGCCAAGTGACCAGCTAGAAGACACCCCAAATTAAGGTATAGGTTTATTATTTTGTTAAAATGTAACTGCAGGGAGGAGTTCAGAAGGGTGGAGGGAATCCAAAGTTGGGTTTTAACCCAATTATGTTTTTGAATTTTTTTATATACTACTAACATAAATTTTAATACCAGCCATCTTGAATCCCCTGCACAGCAGTACTGACACTGGGAAAGAGAAGGTCAGGGGTCTTATCTTAGAGCTTATGGGAGGAAAGAAAACAGGGATGGATCCATTGCCACTCCTAAATTCTGCAGTCACATGCAGGGATTGGTGCTGTTTCACTGCAGTGAAGATTGTTGAAAGATCCAGGATCTGTTTGTGCTGCAAATATTTGAATATGAGTTGATCAAGATTCTCCTCAAAGTTCTCATTTATCTCAAATGAAGAACAGATAAGGATTTGCATTTATGGCCATCCTGTCCTGGGATTTACAGAGCTTCATTCTATCAGAGTCCTGGTGTTTCTCCTCCTCTGTTAAAGTCATTAAAACTTTACTCTGTTTTGAAAAAAATCTAAACTCAGCAGCTTCTAATACCATAGTTGCTGACCTATAAGAAGCAAACACCTACCAGACTATGTGGTCCAGCACTCTCTTCTCCTGAGCCAATTCTTCTCCAGGCTTTAACTCTCTGGTTCAACCATCTTGGATATGGGATATGGCTCTGACTTCATGAAGTCTCACAGCCAGCTTGACATTATGCATAAGTGAGGCACAGCAGTGCTATGCAAGAACAAGAGAAATATTTGGCACACTAAGAAGAAAAAAGCCAGATGTATACTGTGATGGCTAGTATATTAACCACACAAGTAGAGCCCTTAAAGTCCAAAGGTGGTTAAGGGATATTCGAAAAATGCTTGACTCAGTGGTAGCCAATTCAAAAAGACTCTGTGTGAACCATAAAAGAGAGAGAAGCAGCACCATCTAAGTGCTTCAATATAAGCAAATAATTTATTCCATAAAAAAAAGGTCATCATGTTGGCCTGATGAAGGAGCATGAATATTCCAAATGCATGTCACGCCCACTTCTGCTGTACCTGGAGCTGACATCATTCCCTCCTGCCCTGAGGATCCATATTGACCAGAAAGTACTGGGAACCACCAGCACAGCCAAGGAAAGTGCTTTGGAGAATTGCCTGCAGCAGGACCAGCCAGGAGTTGCACAGCGGTTGACACCAGTTTGACAAGCACTCATTTAACTACTACTATTTTGAGTTGCCAATTTTGTGGAATAAATTATTTGCTTATATTGCTGCACTTAGCGTATTTTTCGCTCTATAAAAAACACACCTAGGTTTTAGAGGAGAGAAACCAAGAAAAAAAATATTCTGAAAAATGGACTGCAGACATAGTACAGGAAATGACCAGAGACTGCGGATGTACTACAGGAGATGATCAGAGACTGCGGACACAGTACAGGAGATGACAGAGACTGCGGACACAGTACAGGAGATGACCAGAGACTGTGGACACAGTACAGGAGAGGACCAGAGACTGCGGACACAGCACAGAGATGACCAGAGACTGCAGACACAGTACAGGAGATGACCAGAGACTGCGGACATAGTACAGGATATGACTAGAGACTGCGGACACAGTACAGGAGATGACCAGAGACTGAAGACACAGTACAGGAGATGACAGAGACTGCGGACACAGTACAGGAGATGACCAGAGACTGTGGACACAGTACAGGAGATGACCAGAGACTGTGGACACAGTATAGGAGATGACCAGAGACTGCGGACATAGTACAGATGATCAGAGACTGCGGACATAGTACAGGAGATGACCAGAGACTGCGGACACAGTACAGGAGATGACCAGAGACTGCAGACAATACAGGGATGACCAAATGACTGCTTACCTTTGGGGAGGGAGGGGGAGCGGGTACTTGCGTTTGACAGGTACTCGCTCCCACTTCTGTGGAGTTGTCCTCCATTTATTGTGAGCACCTGGCTGTGTCAGCCGGGTGTCCACTGCACATGAACGAGAAGCGCTGCACTTTGTGAATGGCTCGGTGTCTTCTGGGACCTGCCATGTATCACAGAAGACTCCAGACCATTCACAAAGTGCAGCGCTTCTCGCCCATGCGCAGTGGGCACCTGGCTGTCACAGCTGGGTACCCACACTAAAGACGCCAGCACGGGAAGACTGTACAGCGCTGGACCGAGGAATAGGTAAGGTTCTGCTGCAGAGAAGAGCGGCCGGCCTGGTATTCTGACACGGTGGCGACGGCGGAAATACCGGAATGGTCACTCCATATTCGCTCCATAAGACGCACTGACATTTTCACCCCTTTTTTGGGGGGAAAAAAGTGCGTCTTATGGAGCAAAAAATCCGGTAGGTGGCGCTGCTTCTTTCTCTTTTATGGTTTACAGCAGTGCTAAGCGACTGGTCCCACAGCCTCCTGAGATGTGGAATATATCCTACAAGGCTGTGATAGGTGGTGGTGGGGTAGGGTTGGAGCAAGATGAAGTTATTCTTGCTTGCTGAGGAAGTGGGATGAGAGGATACATGTCACAAAAATGTTCCTGCACCCTAAAAAAAAATGTGTTTACTTGTTAGGGGTGGGAGGATGAGTGGTACTTTCATTTTGAGTGAAGGTCCTCTTTAAATAATACTTAAAGATCTTGTCCCTTCTCCTGCCTGTGACTGATAAGCTCATCTCTCTGTCACTTTGCACTCTCCTCCTATCAGCACATTCCTTTTAGCGCTTGAGTACTGCAGCACAAGTGATTGGGTCCTTGAGTCTATACATCTAGATTTCAATGTCCCCTAGTTTATAAAAAGGGTTAAGCCATAGGCAAATTAGTAAATCCCCTTGGATTAAAAAAAACACATTAATTCTGTTTTAACATATTGCATAAAGTTCTCTGTGCCAGTTTGCTTTCTGTTATTTGTGCTTATGAGTGGTAAAAAAAAAAAATTATGATTTAGCAAAACTTGCAACATTTGTATTGAAAGATAAATGTTCTAATACACTTAGAAAATGCAGCAGACCCCACTAGATGCATTCTTTAATCCTTTTAAAGTAACTATTCCTTCAACAATTATAGATCCCCCTAATAAACTGCACATGATTTAAAATAGTAAGTTGTAGCTGAGAGCTTTGACATTTGATGGAACCCTTAGGATGATGCTTAAAAATTCAGGAAACCTGAATCAAAAATGTAATATTGTATAACTAAACGGAGTTCAATTTCCTCTGTTTGTCAACCGTGCCATAAATATTCGTTGTTTGTGGTCCTAGGTAATATAAGCCCTTGCCAGTTTATTGCACATAAACGGGAAGAGATTTGGACTCCAGGTCTGGTAATGAGTTGTGATCTATTAGGGAGGCGGAAACCATATGGCGCAATTATTTTTAGGTGAGCAGACTGATGTAGTGCAGTGTCAGTGCGCACCATTGCTGGATCTCAGTAGTGCTGATAAAAGTCTGCCCTTTTCAGTTCTTAGATATATTTTTCTGTGCTGAAATTTATGAAGACACCAAGTTCCAGAATTCGAGATCTCCCTTCGATTAATCCAGTAATTTCATGTAAATGAGATCTCATACAACTTATTTGCTGATTTACAATGCAAACTAAGGGACAAATTTAGTGCAACTCAGCATAGGCCTACATTATTTCTGAGTCTTTTATTTGGAGATGGGGAGTGCTAACTTGACCTCAAAAACCCAAGAGTATGGAGCTCATTCTTGCCAATGTTTTCGGATAATTTCTAGGGACCCTTTTGTTGCTGATCAGAAGTATGTCAGCATATCACTTCTTGTTCTGTAAATCTGCATGTTACTGCATATGAATCTATACTCAGAAAGTAAAAAAAAAAAGGACAAAAGCCTAAATAGGAGGACTTTCAAGGATAAGAATTCAGTAACAATGTCTTCAAATCATTGTTAAAGAGAAATAAAGCTTCTGTATTTATTGCTAAAAAGCAGTCAGGCTGCATATGCAGTTATAAATATTTTGTTTTTACTTTGTGCTAGCAGCACACAAGAGAGTCAGACCACTGCCCAGCATAGGGCCTGGGGATGCGGTGTTCCAACACTCTCCATGTCCAGTGCTTCAACTTATGCAATGTTGACTGAAATTTGACATGTGCACACTAGATATGTTCATTGCATTTCATTTCGGATGCATTTGTTCATTGAAGAATTTTTGTTTTGTCATATTCGTTATGTTGACAGGATTCATTTTCAGAATTTGTTTCGTATATTTGTTGGTCCGTGTAGATTAGCAACATTTTGCAGGATTTCTGGAAAATTGTTATATATCTGATATATATTATCGAACTGGACAAATTCAATATTTTCAGCCACTATTCCAGCCCACCAAGAGGAATGGCACAAACTGATTGGACAATATCGACTGGCATCATATGCATTCTAATTAACAAATGAAATGAAATTCGGACCTATCTGTTTTCCAAATCCGAATCATGGAACAAATTTGAAAATATTTAAGAGTGTCCATACAATTATAACTAAAAAAACCAAAATAAAGTCCATAAATCTTTTCTTCCAAAAACTCGTCGTATAAATCCAGTATATGCCGTGTACCTCAAAATAAAAGAAAACTCAATAGTGTATTATCCTCACATTATAAATTCATCCAAATCCCAAAATTAGTTTCGCCAAAAAAAATCATTATAAATTTCATGCAAAATTGCATAAATCATGAAAATACGTGGTGACCCGTGAAACACATGATAGTGAACTACTCTGTGTATTCTTACTATATAGCAGGGCTTGAAAAAGCCACTCGCCTGCTCGCCAAATGCGAGGAGAAATTTCTCTGTGGCGAGCGAGCGGCAGCAAGGGGTGAGCATAGATGAAGCTTGGAGCGACTGCACCTGCACTCCAAGCCTCATTGTGAAGCCGAGTTCCGGTTTACAACTTCAGGTTTCCGGCTTCTGCGACACTGCCGCCGAGGGGACAAGTGCAGGAGAGGTCCGCTCTCCTCCGCTGAAAGGAGACACCCTATCCCTCGCCGAGGGGGACTCCGGGGGACAGTAAGTACTGTATACAACATGTCCTATCACTATAATGGAGTACAGGGGAGCTGGGATATACATTACTCAGTAATGTATATCCCAGCTCCTCTGTACTCCATTATAGTGATATGACGTGTATACAGTAATGTATATCCCAGCTCCCCTGTACTCCATTATAGTGATATGACATGTATACAGTAATGTATATCCCAGCTCCCCTGTACTCCATTATAGTGATATGACATGTATACAGTATGTATATATCCCAGCTCCCCTGTACTCCATTATAGTGATATGACATGTATACAGTAATGTATATCCCCCCCTCCCCTGTACTCCATTATAGTGATATGACATGTATACAGTAATGTATATCCCAGCTCCCTGTACTCCATTATAGTGATATGACATGTATACAGTATATGTATATCCCCCTCCCCTGTACTCCATTATAGTGTGATATGACATGTATACAGTAATGTATATCCCCCCTCCCCTGTACTCCATTATAGTGATATGACATGTATACAGTAATGTATATCCCCCCTCCCCTGTACTCCATTATAGTGTGATATGACATGTATACAGTAATGTATATCCCAGCTCCCCTGTACTCCATTATAGTGATATGACATGTATACAGTAATGTATATCCCAGCTCCCCTGTACTCCATTATAGTGATATGACATGTATACAGTAATGTATATCCCTCCTCCCCTGTACTCCATTATAGTGATATGACATGTATACAGTAATGTATATTCAGCTCCCCTGTACTCCATTATAGTGATATGACATGTATACAGTAATGTATATCCCCCCTCCCCTGTACTCCATTATAGTGATGTGACATGTATACAGTAATGTATATCCCAGCTCCCCTGTACTCCATTATAGTGATATGACATGTATACAGTAATGTATATCCCCCTCCCCTGTACTCCATTATAGTGATATGACGTGTATACAGTAATGTATATCCCCCTCCCCTGTACTCCATTATAGTGATATGACATGTATACAGTAATGTATATCCCAGCTCCCCTGTACTCCATTATGGTGATATATGACATGTATACAGTAATGTATTTCCCCCCCCTCCCCTGTACTCCATTATACTGATATGACATGTATACAGTAATGTATATCCCCCTCCCCTGTACTCCATTATAGTGATATGACATGTATACAGTAATGTATATCCCAGCTACCCTGTACTCCATTATACTGATATGACATGTATACAGTAATGTATATCCCCCCTCCCCTGTACTCCATTATAGTGATATGACATGTATACAGTATGTATATCCCAGCTCCTCTGTACTCCATTTATAGTGATATGACATGTATACAGTAATGTATATCCCAGCTCCCCCTGTACTCCATTATAGTGATATGACATGTATACAGTAATGTATATCCCAGCTCCCTGTACTCCATTATAGTGATATGACATGTATACAGTAATGATTACTGTATACATGTCATATCACTATAATGGAGTACAGGGGAGCTGGGATATACATTACTGTGTACAGTTTTATATTTCAGACTATTTTTATTCTAAAGAAAAATCTAATTTCATAAGCTTTAAGGGGGCGTGGTTGGGGGGCAGGCCGGGGGGGGGGTGGGGGCGTACCTGGGCAAGGTTGGGGCGGGGCAACTGGTGGCGAGTAAGTTTTGTGACCGGCTAGTAGGTATGGACTGGAAATTTTAACCCCTGCTATATAGTACTTAGTGAACACTGAGTGTACACATCTAATGTGGCTGAATTGCATACCCTTACCCAAATGAGTAATAAGCAAGCCTTTATAAATAAATCCAAAGGAGGGTACGGATACAGATCTGCTGGAACCTCGTGGGTACCTTCTGATCCCCCAATGCTCCTTTCAATACTCTTACCTTACTCTTACCTCCTTAGTACTGCAATACATTCATTCATAAATAAAAAGCAGATTCACATCTGGGGCAGAGCCACATCTGCATGTGAATGGACACCAGAGCACCGGTTTGAGGGCGAGCCCACTTAGATGCCCCCATAGCAAGCTCCTTACTGCGGGGGCACTTGGCAAAAGGGAGGGTCCAGGAGCACAGGGGACCCAAGAAGAGGAGGATCGGGTGGGACTGCTATGTGCAAAACCAATGCAAATAAATATGACATGTTTGTTTATTTTTATATATATATATATATATATATATATATATATATATATATATATATTTATAT